TTTTTTTTTTTTTTTTTTTTTTTATTTTTATATGTAATGTATCCATCCTGTGTTTGTAATTTGGTTTTGTGGAGATAGGTTAATGGTTATGTTGTGTATGTATTTAGACTGGGCGAGTTGATGTATAAATTGAGAATGTATGTAAAGTTAAAATTTCGAGGCGTTTTTATTTAATGGCGTGTACTATGTACTGATTCTTAATTTTAAATTGGATGTTCCTCGGCTTCGTAACTTCGTATTGTTTCTTTGATTGGAAGACTTCTTTGAATGTGTGGGAGTTAGTCTCGTGTTTGTGCAGGGAGGTAGAATGAAGCTTACTTTAGTTTAAGCTTTACGGCCTTGTTTTGTTTACTGATTCTATTTTCTAATATTTGTTTGTGGCCTGATCACATTTGGAAGTGTTTGTCCCATGAGCATGTTTCTGTTTTCTATAAGTTTGTCTATTGCGAACGAATAGAGCATTTGAAGATAACAAAAAAAGATGGGAAAAATCTTCCTATTGTTTTGGAAACAATTTGCCATGTTAAGACTATTTTGAAAAGCAGTTAGTTATATGGTTTTATTGCGGTTAGAGTCGGTTATTATTGCTGTTAGTTAGTCTTGGTTTTGTAATCAACATCTATAAATACTCTTTTTTGTATTCATTGAGTCAAATAATTTTTTTTTTTCACTTCTCTATTATCTTCTCTTTTCTCTGTTACTATTTTTACATGGTATCAGGAGCGAGAATCGATCTATCATGGCTTCCACGTTTGTTCTTCATACATGTCATAATTTAATAGATTTTGGATGAGAAATTTATTGCTAAGTAGCATGAAATTGGTTTAGAAAACTGTGTTTAAAATGAAAAATGAGAAGAGAATCAAACAAGCCCTAAGTCTCTTGTTTTTGTATTTTTTCATTTGTAAGGCAGAGTTAGTTTAATATTTTGGTCTGCTGAATCTGCTCATTATAATTACTATCTTGCGGTGTACTATTTGTTTTGAGTCGTGTCTTTTTGGGTTATGATTATTACTGCGTAAAAAGAATATGGTTCGGATGTATACTGATTGCTTTGTAGTTAGGATTGAGACTTGAGAGACTACTATTACCATTGGAAGTGGCAACAGGAGAAATATTCCCCCTCCTGTAGAAGGGATTTCATCTTTCACAGGTAGTACTCAGGGTTCTGTGAGGTGTTTGTGTCATCTTGACTTTTCCTTATGCCTATGTGAAGTTTGCTTTGAATTCAGAGATTGCATTCTCTATCTGCTCATAGTGGCTAAGTTTAGGTGTACCTAAACCACGTCTTGTTTTGCTTTGCTAATATTTCTTCCCTTCCCCCTCCTCCTCATTCTTGTCTTGGGGCCTTCTTCTGCTCCATTCGTTCTCAGGTAACTTGGTGTTTGTCTCCAGGGATTCCGCAAGATTGACGCGGACAAATGGGAGTTTTTCAATGAAGCTTTCCAACGAGGGAACAAGCACTTGCTGAAGAACATCCAAAGGCGCAGGTCATCTCAATCTCAGCAAGTTGGTAACTATATTGGAATTGGATCTTCTACTGATGCAGGGAAGTCTGGAGTTGAGGTTGAGATAGAAAGGCTGAGGAAAGAAAGGAGTATGTTAATGGACGAGCTGGTTGATTTGCAACAAGAACAACGAAGAACGGCTCACCATGCACTAGAAGTGAATCAAAGACTTCAAACTGCAGAACAAAGGCAGAAACAAATGCTTTCTTTTTTGGCCAAGTTGTTCCAAAACCCTGCCTTTTTAGCTCGGCTTAGGCATAAAAAGGAGCTAAAAGAAATAGATTCTCCAAGAATGGTACGGAAGTTTGTCAAGCAGCACCAACATGAAACAGGAACAGCAGAAACTCTCAAAGAAGGGCAAATAGTGAGGTACCAACCTGATTGGAGAATTATAGGCATGTCTTCTGAAACTCCAGAACTAAGTCCAGTTTCCATTGAACAGTCTCCTCACTACCTTTCACAGGGTTTGGCAGGAGAAATGAATGTAGGTGAAGATCTGGCTGCTCAAATTGAGAATATTGCACCAGTTGATTTGGCTGCTGTGCATGGGATCCCGCCATCTCAAGAAATGATTGGAGAAGGATCATCTAGTTTTGGACCTGAATATCCCCTTTTCAAAGGGAAAAGTGTTATGAACCCAAATCTAGAAGTTCCTCCCGATTTTGCTTCCCTCCCAGAGGTTTTGACCAAGGAGAAAGGCTTTCTAGATTTTTCTGCTCTTGGAATTGAAGGCATTGTCAAGCTTGAAGATATTTGGGACTGTGACCTCAATGTTAGTGGTGCTGCTTCAAGCTGTGGGAATGAGCTGTGGGACAATCCTATCAACTATGAAGTTCTTCCAGAATTTGGAGTCACAAGTGGTATGTCTGAGTCAGATATCTGGGATATTGGCTCTGGAAGTATGGGAATTGATAAGTGGCCAGCTGATGAACCTTCTCTTGGTGAAAAATATGGCCAAGCTGGTGAGCCTAACGAAGATAGGCCTAAGAATAATGATCCATAGGGCTTCATCTACTCCTGCATTTGTTGCCCTTGGGTACTAGCTATGTTTATGGTTCCTAGGGGTCATATTATTGAATAATTCGATTTATAAACAGTATTCATTAACCTGCTTTTATTCCTTATTATTCACTTCCTTTTTTTTTTATTCTGTTAGATTAATCCTTTAATTGTCCATATTTTTCCTTGTAAATTCTTATTGTGTAATTATTGGCAACTTCCATTCAAGTAAACCATACTTTTCCTTTCACCTGATGAATGATTCAAGTAAACATTCACAGGTGACAGGTCTATACCACATAACATAAGGCAGGTATCATCAAACCCCTATTTTGGAATTACTTTTCTTCCCAATGCCCTGCCTGTTGCCGGTAATCATGAATTCCAGACGAGGGATAAGGTATGCTGTTTAAATTAATTGGTTAATTTCCTGTTTTCTCTCCCTTTTCAATTTACATACTTCATTAAGAAATTATTGATTTAATGCTTCTCCTCAGTTTGTCATTTTACTTCTATTTACTTTATTATATTAATACTGTACACGACTATCGGGTCTGTTTAGTTTAGCTTTTGAGAATGTGAATAATATATACCATATATGTCCAAAAACAAAAAAACAGTGGGATGATATTTTAAAAGTGCATTGAAAGAATTGAATGTTTAAATATTTAGAAAAATTATATATCCTTCGAAATTTTTAATCGAAAGAATCTCCGAATTTTTAAAATTTAAAAGTATTGAAATTAAAGAAATGTTTTAAATAAAATTGTTGATAGGTGTGAATTGTTTATTGGTTCGGAGGATGATTCGGACAAATGATTTTGGAAGATATAACAAAACTCAAAGATTAAATACATTCTTATGTCATGAGCTTTTTTTTTTGTTTGTTTGTTTTTTTTCTTCTTCAAGAAAATCAGGTCCTAAGGCCTAAACTATAAAAAAAATTGTAATTTAGTTTTTTCTTCAATTTTTCTAATTATGTTTACGAAGTTTATGGTTTATTTATAATCGGTTAATTTTGGCACAATTTTTTTATTCTTTTGATCTCAAAGATCTAATTACAAAAATAAAAAATAAAAGAAAATTAAGGACTATTACAAATTCTATAATTTAGAGACCTATTTAAAAATCTTCAGAAGTTCAGGAATTAGAGGTATTATATTTGAACAAAAAGTAGTAATGAGATATATCCTACAAGCATCTTATAAATCTCCATTGAAGGTTTTTTTCTGTCTTAAAACTTAAAAGACCATTAACTCATATATATATATATATATATATATATATATATAAAATAAAAAATTAATTTTATATAATAACTATAAATGATTATTTTATATTATTATTTGATAATAGTGCATTTAAGATTTTTTTTATGTAATTCAACTTTTTTATTTACTATATTTATTTTAAAATTGAATTTTACTATTTTTAAAATATATTATAAAAAATACACAAATAAGCTGCTGATGGAAATTTTACGAATTAGATTTATTGAGCTAATAAATAATATAAATGAAAAATATAATAGAGTTTAATATTTTTATCATCATGCTAAACTATGACATATTTATAATACACAAGTTATATCATCTACTTTGAAAAATAAATATCGGTGAATTTGTGATGTGTATTATATGCCAAAGTGGATGGTATAACTTAGATATTATGAATATATATCACATACTTTAGTATGATGATAAAAATGATTAATCTAAATGATATGCTTCATTTATATTTTTGAGTAGTTCTACTTATGTAAAATTTTCATTAGCAGTTTTCTTATGTTTAAAAATATTTATTTATATGTTTTAAATATAATTTATATATTTAAATATATTATTTTATAATTTATTATAATTTTTTAATTATATATAATAAATATTTAGTTTATAAAATATACATGTTAAAATAATAAAATATTAAATGTCAGCAAAATTATATTTTTTAGTAGAATTGTTAAAATAGATTACTTGATTGATGAGATCAAATTTGAAAAGTGGGTCAAGTTAATTTACAGGTCTTGAGTTTTTCAACTTATCTAGCTTAATTAGTTGGGTCAAATTAACATTTCTTTTTCATAAGATATATATTTTTTATAAAAGATAAAATATTGGCCAAATAGTATTGTTAACTCATTGACTAACATTTTCATAGTCCAATTTGACCCACCAAGTAAGGTTAAAGTAACTATTCGGATCCCAAAATGAAGAGAATAGCCTAACTTGGCCTAACCCATCAAGCCACTAGACTAATTTTAACAACTCTAACATTTAAAAAGATTTTGTAACTTTCTTTTTTTTCTATAATTAATTATTTTAGAAAATACTAGTCTTTTCATTTAAAATTATATATACATTTTAACACAGTTTTCACATTAAATAAGTTGAAATTTTTTAACTAAGTCTCTAATTCTTTTATTTTTGTAATTAGACTTTGTTGTAAGTCAACGGTTTGTAAATGAATTCAGGAACTTACAATATTTTTTTTATAAAAAATTTTAGGATTCAATTACAAATTTTTATAATTTAGAAACCTATTTAAAAAAGTTCAAAAAGTTTAGAGACCGATTAATGCAGTAAACTATGTTTAAATAATAGAACAGAACCACTTTTAAACGATAAAAATAAGTACGGTCTTGAAAATTTTAGTGTTTGTTTGGATGTATTTTTGGCCAATGTAGCATGCATTAAGAGATAAAATCAACGGGTCATTCAACAAAAATCAGTTACCACAACATTTTCACAGTTCCCACCTAAAATTAATTTTACTCAACGAAAAAGAAAATATACTTCTTTCTCAAAATAGTATATAAAAGTATATAAGAAAATAGCAACAAACCTATCTTTTCCAAACATAAGCCTAGAAAAGTTTGGAGTCCCAAATATATAACAATTGAAGGTATAATATTATATTCCTACTAATCTCATTCCCAGAATATTACACCCAGGAAATTTATTCCATGTTTTCATAATTAGTTTTAGAAAAAAATATTTTATTTAATTATAAAAAAATAAAATTAGTGAAGAAATGTGAAATGAAAAAGTGGAAAAAGGTAATTATAATAAAAAATAACTTCCATTCCCATTAAGATATAAGATGGCATGTAAAATAGGAGAGTATTTTGTATTTCTAATAATTATACAATCAGAACATTAAATGGTTGTAAATAATCATAATGATTGACTAAAAAATAAAAATTAAAAATAAGAATATTTATTTTCACTTTCATATTTTTGAAATATAAAAAAGGTTAAAAATCTCTTTTGGTTTCTTATAATATTTTTTTGTTTTAATTTAGTCCACTTTAATTTTAGGTCTCAATTTAGTTCTTAATATTTAAATCATTGCAATTTGAGATTTCTGTCTAAATTTAGATTTAAATGGAGTTAATTGGTAGTCACGTGAATGCCAGGTGGATGTCACGTTGCTATGTAGGTGGATCCCAAAATACTTGAATACACCTGGAATTAGAACGGTCTGTTTTGAAACCAGAACGGCCCGTTTTGGTTACATTATACGGTCGTTCTAGATGTAAAATTAACACACCAACAGTGTAAACCAGTAAACCAGAACGGATCGTTCTGGATTTAGAATTTCGTGCAAAAAAAATTAAAGTACAAAACATTTCAAACACTAGATTTGATAATATTGTTGATAGAGATTAATAACTTCAAAAACATTATCATTAAGAACGATGCAGTATATCACTAAGGACAATGGTAACAGGTTTTATTTTATTGTTAGTGAAACTGGAGTAAATCACTTACTACCAAATTTGACACTATACAGTCAAGGATGAAACAAAACGATATTTTTTCTTGAAGTCATTAATGATGTACCCCAACAATAACAATCTGTTCTTGAGGAGGTACAACTTGAATTTTTGTGGTTTAGGGTATCCTTTCAGCGTTACCCAGATGATTTCCTTTCTCAATAATTTCTTTGAACTTTTTTAGTATATGTTATGTTCTGAATTTTTGTTTTCAGTTTCTGAATCATGTTTCTCTCTTTGAATTTATGATATATTATGAATTTTTATTTTTAATTTTTGAATCACATTGCGACATTTTAGTCAAGATTTTGAATTGGATAAGTTCAAATCAAAGAAGGATTTTAAAAGTTCTTATTTTATTTGATTTTTTTTATTCATAAATAAATATTAATTTATTGTATTTTTTATTTATTATATTTTTATTAATATAAATATAATAAAAAATATATAATAAAAAGCATGAAGTTGGTGTTATGGAACGGGCCGTTCTGAATTCAGAACGACTATTCTAACAACTATGTGTTAAATTTGCATTTGGAACGGCCGTTCCAGTTGCAAAATTAACACATAACATGTGCATGCAGAACGGACCGTTCTAGTTTCAAAACGGACCGTTCTAATGTCAGGTGTATTCATGACATTTGACATTCATCTATGCATTTACGTAGCATCCACCTGTCATCCACGTTAGCAGGAGTTAACCCCGTTTAAATTATTTGGACGGAAGTCCCAAATTGCAATAATTTAAATTATTACCAAATTGAGACCTAAAATTAAAGTAGAATTAAATTAAAACAAAAAATATTATCAGGGACCAAAAAAATTTTTTAACCTATAAAAAAAGAGTTAATCACCTATACACTGCCAGTGTAAAATTTTTTTTACACGGGCAATCAATTATATCGTAAACACATTTACTTTTAACGTGACCTGGTATAATTAAAAGATATAATTGGTTACCAGTATAAATTTTTTTTTACACTAATAGTATATAGGTGATTAACTCATAAAAAAAAATACTCAAAACAAATGCCTTCTAAGAAGTCAAGCTAACTTCAAAGGTTCATTACTTTATATCTCACTACCCTTTTATTTCAAACCTAGCTTTTCTTCCCTTCAACCTTGCCTATTTTCTTACACCTTCAACTTGACCTAAGACATATATGATCACCCTAGGAAATTAGGAGTAAGGATTACAACGAATAGGGTTCTATAATAGTTTTAATCTCCATCTCTGTACTCACTAAGTACCTGTATATCCATATCAACACCCACGTTCTACATTTCATTTAAAGAGATAATATTCGACTCAAACAAGTATAATATTAATTTATCAAATTCTTATAACATAATAATTGTTATAAATAAAGATTACAAAATATTTAATTTTTATTATGTAATTATATTATTAAATTAATATATATATAACTGCCTGCGGGACAAAACGGAACGGATTAAATACCACAATACTCGTATCCAAATCCAACCCTATCCCCATATAAATAGATATTTATCTGCCCATCATGCAGATGCGCCTAGGTCCAAGTCCATCCCCATTTTGCCATCCCCATCCCTAGTGACTAGTGAGGAGCCTACGTCCATCATAATTTTCATCTTCATAAAAATATATTTGACCATTAAGTGGGAAACTGATCCACAAAGTAGAACAGCGGAAGAATGTTTTATTAAGATCCAATATCTCAGAGTCAGTTTACAACCAGATCCGAATCCTCTACTGGCCCAGGAACATTTAAAAATAAATGAAGATCAGTTGCAAATAGGCGCTGCAAACAATAAAATGCTATAATCTAACACTACCAAAACAGAAATAATAGACTTCCATTGAATTTTGAACATAAAACTAATATACCGTCGGTAGAAGCAACGACTCATGATTTAAAACTAAAAGGTAAAGAACTGCATTTCAATTTGGCAAAATATGGAGGAAAAAATTATACTGAAAATAAAATGATGACAAAACCCCCCATTCCATATATAGGGGAAATCAACAATATTCATGACACCTAAACAACATGCAGTTTAATATAATTTGATCTACAAAGGATCACTTCATAATCAGAAGCCAGGGAAAGACAACAGGTGTAATTTATAAAGTATTAAGAGTCTTCTTCCGTTTTGAAGCATTTTCATCACTACCATTTTTCCGCTTGGCTTCTCTGCGCTCCCTCTTCACTCCTTTTGATTTGTTAGGTAAAGCCATTTCTCCAATCTAAACAATCATAAATTGTTGTTACTGGTTTATATATCTTTCACAGGATCAAAAAAGTAACATGCGCAAAGGCAATGCACTCTTAGTTTTACTGAAAGGAGCTAATTCAAAACAGTTGATGCAATGAAAATAGTCAGTCTTACCTTCTGATCTGGAATATAAATATTTCCAATCTTTCCCTGTAATTCGTCCTTTTTAACATTCTTCTCCTGTTAGCAACGGAGCAAGTACACAAATCAGACATACAATTTTCTTTTACATTATAGATAAACCAAAGGGATTTAGACATGTAGCAAACCTTTTTCTTTGGCTTCTCCCTCGATGTTTTCATTGCTTCCTTCCTCAAACTTTCATTAGGAGGACGATGCCGACGAACAACAAAATCCATCGAAGGCCCAACTTCCACCAATTCCATCCTCGGCACGATAGTGCCTGACTTTTTCAGCCGCAATGCACAGTGAGTAAAAAGCACCCGATTTGGAGAGATCGCAGCACATACATATGCACGGTCTACTCCAGCAAGATTTAAATTCTCCACAACCTGCACAATCAATCACATCACTTCTGTTTATATAATCCAAGCCAACAGCAACAAAGCACACTGCAAGACTATAAAAAAACAACAGCAACGCACCTCACCACGAAGAAGATCAAGCAAAACTTCCTTCAAATGCTTTAGCTCTTCCACAGCCTCAAATCCTTCTCCAATAAAAACAATAAAAGGCTTCGACCCTTCCTTTGGAGCCAACTTCTTATCATAACTAAAAGATTCCATGGGTTTAAAATTTTCAACACCAACCTCCACTAAATCATAGATATGATGGTCATAAGTTCTCCCTAGAACAAGGTTATCAGGTCGCTTCTTTGAATGAGATCCATACTGCAAAAATACACCAAAACCAAAAAATCTCAGTAACGTGTTTGAATGGGGAATTTAAAAACAGGAATTCAATTCAACTTTTGAGTAAATTTAACATCAAACACATCAAAATGACTTGTTTGGATATCAAATCCAAAAGAACTTTTAAAATGATGGAAAAATTGAAAGGATATTTTTTGTTCAAGCAAAATGAAGGAGTTTCAAACAACACCCAGAAATAAAAAATTTAGATATTCTTTATCATTTTCATGGTCCCATAGTTAACACTCTCATCCCAGAACTTTGATGCGTTCTCTGTTGTGCACCTCGCCATCCCCTTTTACTCAAGTTACACTTCCATGACTTACAAAAACCACTAATTTTTTGTTGAACAATATTTTCACAACTGCAAACGATATCACATCAAGTACTACAAAGAATTTGAAACACAAAAAATTAAATTTCCATATCCAAACAAAGCATTTAAAAAACAAAAGAAATTTAATTTTAGTAATTGATTAAACTCCCAAAAACTCTAAATTCCTTTGAAATTTTGAAATCCCTCGTCCAATCACTACCTAAAGCCATTACTTCCCACGCAAACAATTGACATTCTCCATTACTATCCCATAATCACAAAAAAACATTTTTTTATTAAAAAAAAAGCCTTGTATTACAACAACAAAAATTCCATATGCACTACTATTATCCCCGCAACTAAAATCAATGATTACCACAAAGATGCTGCAATCGGTTTTGAGAGAGAAAAACTCGAGAGAAGTCTCGCCGCCGGCTTCGAAGGGCTTAACGTTCTCGTTCTTACGGCTGAACTTGACGGCGTTGTTCTTCTTGAGATGATAAAGCTGCGCGAGAACGGCGTTAAGCACGGCGCTGGTCTTTGTTCCGTGCAGGATCAGCGTCTTCTTCCCCGATTCCACCTGCAATAAGAATTCCCCAAAAAGTGTAACGATTTTCTGAGAAAGAGAAGAAGAAAGAGAGAAAGGTACTTACGAGCTTGGGGGCACGCTTCTCGAGCTCACGCTTACCCTTGCGGGTCTTCGCGGTTTTGATTTCCAACATCGCAGCGAAAACGCGACCACAGACACGAACAGCGTTTCAAGGTGTCTGCTTTCAGGATTTAGGGTTTTGGAGAAGACGAGGGTTTTGTTTGTTCCCAATTCTAAATTCTAAATATAATAAATCCCACTTCACTTTTCTTTTTTACTTCTACTCCTTTATCTTTTATTTTTTACTCTACAAAACACGTATTCACCTTCACCGCAAATATGCTCTAGCCAGGTTGGGTTTTTTTTTTTTTTTTTTATAATAATTTT